CAGGCAGGCTTGTGTTTGGGCTCCTGCTGGTCGCTCCAGTAGGCCCCAGAAGCACTCTCTTCCCCATCTGCAGTCCCGGACCCTGTGTGGACACTACTCATTTCCTAGGGTGTTCCTTACCCCACTGCACCAAGTCAGCATTCAGAATCCAGAGTGGCACCACAAAGGCAATAGCTGTGAAGACTACAAGCGGCATCACAGCGCTCAAGCTTGCAGAATCCCAGGGTCTGATGGACTCTATATGTACCAAGGTGACTCCAATCCAGGGACAGTGAAAGTCATTATTCCTTGGACTGAGCATCTGGTTGTCCCAGGTCCCTGGCTGAGCATTTGATGTGAATCTTTCGTCTCTTTACCTTTAAGAGAGGCACTACAGCCACCCTCACGCAGGCCCCAGAGGCCAGTGCCACCCACTGCCTCTGCTCTCTCCACTCCTGCATTCCACCAGATTCCTTGACCTTCAGAAATAGTCTCCTGGAGGCCGGGCATGGTGGCTCATGCCTGTAATCCCAGCACTTTGGGAGGCTGAGGGGGGGCAGATCACCTGAGATAAAAAATTTGAAACCAGCCTGGCCAATATGGTGAAACCTTGTCTCTACAAAAAATACAAAAATTAATTGGGCATGGTGGCAGGCACCTGTAATCCCAGCTACTCAGGAGGCGGAGGCAGGAGAAACACTTGAACCTGGGAGGCGGAGGTTGCAGTGAACTGATTTCATGCCACTGCACTCCAGCCTGGGCAGCAGAGTGAGACTCCATCTCAAAAAAAAAAAAAAAAAAAAAAAAAAAAAAAAAAAAAAAAAAAAAAAAGGTAAAGCAAAGAACAGTCCCCTGGACACCCTAGCCCTGACCTCCCTAAAGCCAGAGTGAACTCTCGGTCTCACCATGGGCTGACCCTCTGGGTCCATTTTAAGTCAGAGGAACATGCCCATCCATAGTCAAAGGAGAGGTGCGGACAAAGCTTGCATTCAGCTGAGACCTCAATCAGTAAAGAAATTTTTCCCTACACAGATCCACAGACAACCAAGCCTTAAAAAGGCATCGCCCCTAAAGCCTGTGGAATTGTCACTTTCTCTCCTATGTCCAAGCATGGAAATGTCTTTCTTCATTTTTAAGGAAAGAGCAGGGAGCGGCGGTGACAGTCTGGGTTTGCCACTGGATTGGTCTCCCCTGAGCTCCAACAGCTCCAGCATTTAGCAGCTGGCGGTACTTGGGCAAATCACATGATTGGATATTGGAAGCTTTTTCCTCCTTTCTAACTCCCCTTCCTGGAGGCTGACACAGACTAAAGTTTGGTAAGAAAACTTAGGATAAAAGAAGGGGCAGAGACCAGGTGATGTGGGTCACGCCTGTAGTTCCAGCACTTTAGGAGGCTAAGGTGGGTGGATCAATTGAGCTCAGGTGTTCAAGACCAGCCTGGGCAATGTGGTGAAACCATGTCTCTGCAAAAAATTACAAAAATTAGCCGGGCATGGTGGTGTGCACCTGTAATCCCGACTACTTGGGAGGCTGAGGTGGGAGGATCACTTGAGCCCAGGATGTCGAAGCTGAAAGTAAGGTGAGATTGCACTGTTGCACTCCAGTTTGGGCTACAGAGTGAGACTGTGTCGCAAAAAAAAAAAAAAAAAAAAAAAACAAAAAAAACAGATTTTTTCAACGTTATCAGAGATGGGAGCTATGCAAAGAGATGATGTTGGATGGAGGTTAAGACTTAGTCAGCTCAGCTGTAAAGAAAATGGTGCTCTTCTGAGGCTGGAGAACCTGAGAACACTCAGGTAATGTCCCGAGGCAGGATGACCAGTCATCCCCGATGTCCACTGTCTGTGTCTCTCATGGTAATGGAACTCCAATTCTCAGCTGGGAGGTGGCTCCCTGGCATTTGACCGCACCGCGCAGCCTCCTCTGTGGCTAGGCGTGGCCATGGAGCAGACCTGCGGCCAACAGAACACGAGCGGAAATGACAGGTGATGTTTAAGGCTTTCCTTTCCAAAGCAGGTGTGCCCTTCCCTTCCCCTGAGGCCCTTTCTGTGGGCTGGAAGGTGGACATAGCAGTGAGCCTTCTTAGCCCAGGCAAGCAGGCATGGCGAGGCGGCCGAGCAACCAGGCAGGAGGACGTGGATTCTGACAACGTGGAGCCGCCACGTCAACCCACTGCCTCCACCTGGACCTGCGCGAGAGGGCACTGAACTTCAGTCTCACTTCAGCCACAATTTCTGTAGGATTCCGTGTAACTTAAACATAGGGACTGGCCAGGTACAGTGGCTCACACTCATAATCCCAGCACTGTGGGAGGCTGAGGCGGGAGGATCCCTTGAGGCCAGGATTTCAAGACCAGCCTGGGCAACACAACGAAACCCTGTCTCTACAAAGAATAAAAATTGAACAATTAACCAGTCATAGTGTTGTGTGCCTGTGGTCCTGGCCACTCAGAAGGCTGAGGCAGCAAGATCCCTGGAGTCCAGGAGTCGGAGTCTTCAGTGAGCAATGAGCAATGATTGTGCCACTACACTCCAGCTTGGGTGCACTCCAGCCTGGGTGACAAAGTGGGACCCCCCCTTCTCTCTCTCTCTCTCTCTCTCTCTCTCTCTCTCTCTCCCCCATATATATATTTTATATATATGTGTATATATATATATATATATATATATGATATATGTATATGTGTATGTGTGTGTGTGTGGTGGTGGGCACCTGTAATCCCAGCTACTTGAGAAGCAGAGGCAGGAAAATCGCTTTAACCCTGGAGACAGAGGTTGCTGTGAGCTGAGATTGTGCCATTGCACTCCAGCCTGGGCAACAGGGAGAGACTTCATCTCAAAATTTAAAAAATAAATAAATAAAGATACACACACACACACACACACGCACACACACATTCAATTCTGCAACTTAGAGCCTGAAAGTCATTTAAGGAAGATGAGACTAAACAGTTACTGGTCACCTTAGTGCCACACAGTCAACAGGTATGTCAGTCCTCTAAAGATGCAGCACTCTCACAACAGACAAACTAAAAATCCTGTCCTCGTAGAGTGTACCTTCATATGACTTTATTTCATCTTGATGACCACTCTGTCAGGGAAAGATTACCTTGCATCTTAGACACTAGGAGATTAAGCTGTAGAGATTTCCCATGATGTGTTTGAAGTGAGTCAGTCGGTGAGTCAGACATCCGTGATTCAAGCCAGGTCGGCTCATGTCAGAGCTAGAACCTCTCCACGGGTCTCATGGCCTCCTAGCAAGCCCTCTAGCCTGTCAGGGGCTGTCATGGATGGGGACTGTGACCACAAGGAATCAAGAGGAAGGATTTTTTTTTTTTTTTTTTGAGAAAGAGTGTCCCTCTGTCACCCAGGCTATAGTGACGTGATCTCGGCTCACTGGAACCTCTGCCTCCTGGGTTCAAGCGATTCTCCTGCCTCAGCCTCCCAAGTAGCTGGGATTAGGAGTACACCATCATGCCCAGCTAATTTTTTTTTTTTTTTTTTTTTTTTTTTTAGTAGAGACAGGGTTTCGCTGTGTTGGTCCAGCTGGTCACAAACTCCTGATCTCAGGTGATCTGCCTGCCTCAGGCTCCCAAGGTGCTGGGATTACTAGCATGAGCCACCACTGCCGACCAAGATTGTTACCTTTTTGAAGAGTCAAAGAAAGACCCCGGATTAACTAAGAGAAAGGCCCAAGGAGACCTGAAGGCCAGGGAGGAGGGACAACCAGTTGTTGGTGTGAACCAGTGGCAGAGGCTCAGCGGGACACAGGCCAAGGCTGAGGAGGCCCCCACAGAGAAGCAGAGCCTAGGACCAGGGGTTCCTCACAACACCTGTGCTCCCAGAAAGCTCCCTTCCCACCCCCATTCTAGGTGCAACTCTGGAATGGGGGCCCTGACACAAACCCCTACTCCTTGGGGTTGGTGAAGGGACACCCAAAATGCAAATGATTTGCAGAAAAATAGAGTCCTGTATTTTTAAAATATATCTAGGATTGTATATGGACATTAACATCATACTGACACACACACAGAGACAACAAAGAAAAGTGCCTTAGAAATACACCAAAATGTGGCTGGATACTGTGGTTCACACCTGTAATCCCAGCAATTTGGGAAGCTGAGACAGGTGGATCACGAAGTCAGGAGTTCAAGACCAGCCTGGCCAATATGGTGAAAACCCATCCCTACTAAAAATACAAAAATTAGCTAGATACGGTGGCACTCAACTTAGTCCCAGCTGCTCAGGAGGCTGAGGCAGGAGAATCGTTTGAACCAGGAGGCTGAGGTTGCAGTGAGCTAAGATTATGCCACTGCACTCCAGCCTGGGCATCAGAGCAAGACTCCATCACAAAATATAAATAAATTGAAAAGAAATACACCAGATGCTAGCTGGGGTCTACTCCAGGTAGTAAAGTGCTAGGGGATATTTTGCAAAGTCCTTCTTTATATTTTCTGATATTTTCCAAGTTCTTCAATGAGTATTTAATGAACAGATTTAAAACTAACACAGCAAAGGGTTTTTTGTGTGTTTGCTTTATCTTTTATTTTTTTTTTTTTTGAGACAGAGTTTGGCTCTTGTCACCCAGGCTGGAGTGCAATGGCACGATCTCGGCTCACCGCAACCTTGGCCTCCTGGGTTCAAGCAATTCTCCTGCCTCGGCCTCCCGAGTAGCTGGGACTACAGGCATGCACCACCAAGCCCAGCTAATTTTTTGTATTTTTTTAGTAGAGATGGGGTTTCACCATGTTGACCAGGATGGTCTCGATCTCTTGACCTTGTGATCCACCCACCTCGGCCTCCCAAAGTGCTGGGATTATAGGCGTGAGCCACTGCGCCCGGCTTGCTTTATCTTTTAAGGAAGGGATTAGAGCTATCCCTATAACCAGGTTACTTGAGTGGATGTAACAAGTCCATGTTGCTAGAAATGATCATCTGGCCATTTTCAGTCTGAGAACAGAACACTTGGTTGTCCTGGCCAGTGTTTCCCAAGCAGGGGGAGGAGTTCTTTCCTAGAATAAATAAGCCTAACCATTCATGAGAAACAGCTACTCCAGACAGACGGCTTTGGAATCACCAGCTCTATCCAGCCCCCAGAGGCAGGTAATCCATGATGCTTTCCATCCTGGGAGCGGAGGAATCCTTTTTTCTGAGTGTTGTAGGTGGCAGCCTGGAGCGTGTGGAGTGTGTGGTAAGCGGATGCCAGGAGGAGGTGTGCCCAGGGCACTGGGTTGGGGCCAGGGGACTGTTGTGATTCCCCGTGCCTTTTTAAGAGGCGTCCTCTCTGGGTCTGAGTTTTCACACCTGTAAAGGGTGGAGGTGCCCTGGGGCCTCTATGGTCATTTCTGCCTTGACACTTAAGGTTCTGATTCCAGTCAGCTGTGCATCTGACCCTCGGGGCGAGAGGCACTGTCCCCTTGCCTGGCACAGGGTGCAGCTCTCAGAACCTGTGGCAGATGTGACTGCTGCAGCGGGTTTCTGTGAGCAACAGCCGCAGGCCCCACGGTGATTTCAAGGTCTCCATGGGGCTGCCTCGGGGGCTCCACTTCCCCACCAGGACCCCTGGCCAAGTCCACAGATGGGCGGTGCCTCTGTGCACACACTGCGAGACAAACTGCTGGGAAACAGCCAGTCCTCCAACTTGCCCAGGCAGAAAACACCAGGCTTGGCCCCAAAATAATTCCAGAGGCAAATATTGTGGAACATTTTCCCAGAGAAAGGGTTGCATCAGCCTGAGAGTAAACAGTTGAAGCAAACAAGCGGTCTCTGTCCCAGGGCTTGACTGAAGGCATTTCCACTGGCCTCCCCTCCTTCCTCCCCTCCTTCCTTCCTTCCTCCCTCCCTCCCTCCTTCCCTCCCTCCTTTCCTTCCTTCCTTCCTTCCTTCCTTCCTTCCTTCCTTCCTTCCTTCCTTCCTTCCTTCCTTCCTTCCTTCCCCTGGTTCTTCCCCTCTTCCTCTGCCCCTCTCTCTACCCGTCTCCCCTCCCCCTGCTTCCTCTCCCCTCTATTCCCCTCTATTCCCCTCTCTTCCCCAGGCACCCAAGCTGCCCCTTTTCTCTTCTGATTCTGGGACTGAGCGGGCAGAGGCTGAAGGTCAATATTCTTGTTTGCTGCAGTCGCCGGCCTGGAACTCAGCGCTTCCAGGGTCTCTTGAGCAGTTGCTCACGCCTCTTCTCCGGCTTGTGGTTTCAGGCACGGGTAGTATGGGAGGTAGAGGCCCCTCAGTAACGTCTGTTCTGAGCCAGGTGCCTTCATTCATCATTTATCTCACCTGAGCCACTTAGCATGTGGTGCAGAGAGGGAAACAGGTTCAGAGAGGTTCAGTCACCTGCTTGTCATTACATAGCAATCAAAAGTGGCCAAAACAAAATTCCAGTCTCAGTCTGGGAGACCCCAAAGCCCACACTGCCTTCTACCCACTAGGAGGCCCTTCCAGGCTTACGGTGGAAACAGAGACCACATGGCGACCTGGCAGGGGCGGAAAAGAACATTCACCTTTCTTTGGCCTTGATGCCCACCATTGTCAGGGCCGTCTAGGCTCCAGACACTCCCAGGAGCCCCCATTTCCCTCTCTCAGTCAAGCCTCACTGCAACCCAGCATCACGCCAGGAGGCCCACGGGGGCCAAACCACGTGTCACCGAGAGGCTGGGAGCATCACTATGGCCTCTGACTCTGGCCAGGGCTCCTTCATTCCTGAGGTCTTCTTTGGTGGCAGTTGGGGAATAGGGGAAGGGAGCCCCTGCTTTCTAATGCCCTAGGATGGGATCTGCTCACCAGGAGGGAGGAGAGCAGTGGGCATTCTGGTTGGACTGAACCTCGGACCCCCATCAGCTTCCAGACCCAGGAGCCAGGCAAACCTGGCTGCCCACTGGGCTCCTCCACCTGTTTGCCCTGGGACCGTGGCCGCCACTTCACCTCTTTGTGCCCAGGTTTTCCACTGGAAAAAATGGAAACAATTACGGCACTTACCTCAATGGGTGATAGGAAGCAGAGTGATGTGCTGGGGCCCAGGAGAGCCCCTACCTGAGGGAGGCTGCAAAGCCAGCAGGAGGCAGCAGAACAGGGACCAGGACACAGGCCGGTGGGGGCAGGGGGAGGTGGTCAGGGCTCCATCTGGCCCTCTGAGACCTAAAGGATCTTTGCTTTGCAGAGTTGACAATGGGGAGAATGTTACCTCTCCTGGCTCTAGGGCTCTTGGTGGCTGGATTCTGCCCTGCTGTCCTCTCCGACCCTAAGAGCACACTAGACAAGAAGAATCCGAATCAGGAGGAACAAGACCAGGGGACACATGTGGACTTCCGATTAGCCTCTAACAACATGGACTTTGCCTTCAGCCTGTACAAGCAGTTGACACGGAAAGCCCCTGGTAAGAATGTCATCTTCTCCCCGCTGAGCATCTCTACTGCCTTGGCCTTCCTGTCCCTGGGGGCCCGTAATTCCACCCTGATGGAGATTCTCCAGGGCCTCAAGTTCAGCCTCACAGAGACTTCCGAGGCAGAAATTCACCAGAGCTTCCAGCACCTCCTGAGCACCCTCAACCAGTCCAGTGACGAGCTGCAGCTCAGTGTGGGAAACGCCATGTTCGTCAAAGAGCAGCTCAATCTGCTGGACAGGTTCACGGAGGACGCCAAGAGCCTGTATGGCGCTGAGGCCTTTGCCACTGACTTTCAGGACTCAGAGGCAGCTAAGAAGCTCATCAATGACTACGTGCAGAAGGGAACCCGGGGGAAAATCAGGGATCTGATCAGGAACCTTGACCAGCAGACAATGATGGTCCTGGTGAATTACATCTTCTTTAAAGGTGAGTGCCCAGCTTGGGGTTCAGAAGAGGTGGGAGTTTAATTCTGAGCCTCAGGGCCATTTCTGTCCTGGCTCAACAACGGTGTTATTAGAGAAACCACTGTAGAGGAGAGTGCACAGCTTGGGGACATTGTGGGCACGAAGGCCCTGCCCTGCCCATAGGCATCACCTTCTCCTGTCGGTTTTTCCAAATTACAGTTTGTTCTTCCAAGACATCAGCCTATCAGTAAAGCACATCAGCCCTTGGTCTGAGTCAGTGTGGTACTTTTTACTCAGATTTAAACTTGTCCAGCAAACAGAAGGAAGGAGCTCTCCCTTGAAACCACACCAGGGCCCACAGGGACTATAGCTCTCTTTTTACAGGAGCGCTGCTGGACTGGGCCAGGAAAGCCCTCTGTGTGGACGCACCTGGGGCTTCTGCCCTTTACATGGGCGAGGGACACTGTCCAGCCAGGGTCCTCAGTCTCTGGAGGTGGCCAGGTGGGGCTGGGGCCATCTTCACAGGGAAAGCCAACCCCCAAAGTGCCTGGCCCCTCCCAAGGTTCTACGATTCTGCTCTCCTATAATCTTCTGTAATTATATTTTAAAATGTCATTGACACATAAATGAGGGCAGAAATGGCATTGTTCCGCTCTGGGAAAGAGCCTCAAGGGTGGGCGGTATCCAAGACACAACCCCTGCCAGATTCTAACTGGTCCGGTGCCCAACCCCATCGATAGGAACTCAACCAGTGCAAACCTCAGCCTGCAAGCTCCCAAGGGGCAGAGTGCAAGCAGGTACCTCCTGCCTCCTGGAGCCTGGAATCCAGATAGGAGAAAAAAACATAGGGACATAAAGAGTGCCCACCTGTCAGAGGGCAGAAAGGTGCTTAGGAGACATGCGCTGCTTGGAGGCAGAGTCCTGCCTGGGGGCTGTTGGTTGAGTCCTGGGCAAGCCCCTTCTCCTCCCAGGCCAGGGTCTTCATCTGTAAACACAGACGTGGATCCCGATCTCCCACTGAGACTACTTGGTGTCTGAGCTGTCATTTCTGCTTTGAGTGTCCTGTGTTCTGTCCTCCTGCCACGTAGCCCTACGCTAGGACTCTCTGCCCTCCAGGGACACAGTAGGCAGCGCAGCTTTCCCCTCCCCACCTGCCTCTAACAATGGGAAATAGGCAGGCGGGAAACAGGTGGGCAGTGGAGGTGGCCCCAGATTTCCAGCCTCCCCTGAAACTCCCACTCCCCTCACTGTTCAGTGCTCTGGTCCTCCTGGAGTTGAGACCTGCAGGGCCCCTCCCCTTGCTGTGTTGACCTCTACTCACCCTCCAGGTGCCCATTTTGCTCCTTGCCTCATCCTGGTTTACATACAACGTACGTGCTGGGGCTTGGTCAGTGCTGGGGCCGCCCTGTGGAAGGCGGAGGGGGCTGGGCATGCATGAGCTTCAGGCTGAGAGGGTCCCAACTCAGAACCCTGGAGTGCTTGTTCCCTCCCTTTCTGCTCTTCCTGTTCCATTGCACCCACTGGACCCACGAGCATGCAAGTACTGACTCACCCAATGATGTTAGGACTATGTATTTGACTGAAAGTAAGGGTGGGCATCCAACCAGGGGCAGAAGATGGGAATTCAAGAAAGGAAGGTTTCCTCTAGAAAACTGTTTTCTTCTTTTCTCTTAAATCCAGATAGAATTGGAAAGGAAGGTCATTACAGCAGAGAGAAGTTGAGTCAAACAGAGATCAGATCCTAGAGACACTAGTCTAGCCAGACATTCGGGCCCCTAGTTGAACAGCTGAGGATGTCAGAAGATGGTAAGGAGGCAGAATCGGAAAACTTGGTGACTGGCAGACAGAAATGGGGGGAGACAGGGGCAGACGTGACAACATTTAAAGGCTTGTAGAACCCGGGTGGTAATTTCATCCCTCAAACCTGTCCCTCTCTTGATTCTGGCCTACAAGGCAGCAGTCAAGGTCCCCAGAGGCAGCCAGTCTTCCTAGCAGGAAGCCATGCTGGAGATCTGACCAGCTAAAGGCCCCAAAGGAGCCTGGTGCCCTGGGTAATATAGGGTGGCACTCCATGGCACTGCCCTCATGGAGGCCACCGAAGCACCTGAATGGCTGCTGCAGTTGGTGACGGGGACACCTGCTCAACTGAAATATCTCCTGCCCTGTGATGGGTCCTTGCTCTGAGGCATCTTTACAATTAGGTTTGTCCTGGGTCATTCCATGTTGGGAGGCTGCAGGTACCAGAGAACCTGAGATGGTCTTCCAGGAGGGGGAAGGAAAAATGGGCTGTGATTTTGGTCCTAGAAGGCCCAAAGAGAAAGTCCAAAGGTGGAGAAGAGTCTAGAAGGAAAACAATGGCATGAGAGAATGTAGGGCCACCAGAAGCTGGCTCTAGTTGCAATTACCAATAGAAAAAGCAGAAAAAAGAAAGGAAAGAAGCTCCCATTTATTGAGCACCTACTCATACCACCCAGTTACCTGCAGTACCTCGTTTACTCCTCGGAGCAGCTCTGAAAGGTGGACGGTGGTGGTGCCATTTGTCAGTTAGCAGACATGAAGTCCAGAAAACAGATAATTAAACATTCAACGTTGACCTGGGCCCATCTGAAAATCCCTTTTTCTTCCTCACGTTAACCCCTAAGGTTAACCTGTTTATGACTTTATGAGCTTTTACCAAGGATCTCCCAAAACCAAGAATGGAGGTGAAAGATTGTGGAGTCCAAAACCCAGAAAAAGGATTGACAAACTTTTTCTATAAAGGACCTAGTACTAAGTATTTTTGGCTGTGTGGTCCACAGGAGGTCTCTTTTGAAGATTCTTCACTTTGTCTTTCTCCTCTGCTTTTTTATTATCTTCTTCTCTTTCTTCTTCATTGTTTTACAATATTTGAAAAATATAAGCACCTTTCTTAGCACTAAGTTAATATAGAAATAGGCTATGGCTATATTAGTTTACAGGCTTATAGTTTCCTGACCCCTGTTTTAGAGGAGGAAAATAATTGTACACAACTAAACACCTGTGTATCATGGGTCTATGTCATGATTCCCTAAGAAGGAGTTTCATGGAATTTTCTACATTTTAAAGATTTTACTCCATTCTTCTCTTGCTTGCATAGTTTCTGACAAGAAGTCTGCTGTCATGTTTATCCTTATTTCTTTTTAGATAACATAGAGTTTTCCTCCCTCTACCCCTACCTCTACTTCTGCCAAGATGTTCTCTTTCTCTTTACTGTGGTAAATAGGCCTTTGGTGAGAGGAGCTATGTCACTCTGGCTGGGAGTCAGCCTGCATTTCATGTTTGCAATAGCTAGAGGTGCCAGAGGTAGTTTCGTGGAATCTTACCTTTGCAATGGTGAGAGTTTAGACAGCCTCAGGCTCAAAGCCCCACAACTGACTCCTCCGACAGACAGACACAGAATCCAGGGCAAGTCTTATCTGGATGTTCATGGTTTGTAAAGGTGGACATGAGCTAGATATGAGCTGAGGACCACAGCCAGCTTATGGCTTTTGCAATGTCCAACACTCCGACCACCTAAGATGTCACAAGTGTCCTAGGCTTTTATTCCCACGGTCTCTCCTGGCTCTGAGTTCTGTCTTCCACTAAGGTTCTCCCTGTTTCTCCCGTCACTCACATTGATGGGCATCTCCTCTCTCTGCCCTCACCACCTCACATACAGAACCTGGTCTCTTTCCTCCTCTTTCCACCCAAAGCCCTCCCACAAGTCATTGCTGCATGTTCACGTCCCTGTAATACCAGTGACTAACAATTGCTCACAAGAGGTTTTTCCTATCAAGGAACCAAGGCTGAGCCATTTCTCCTTGGGCTACAGCCTCCCACGTGTGGTCATGCCTCTTTCCCTCACTTTCCCTACACCTTCTCTCTCTCTTGCACTCCTTATTCCCAGCTTCCTATTGATTTCTCGTTTAGCATAAAGAACCAGGTCTTTCTTTCCTGACCCTTTTCCCAATCTAAGCCTGCTGGGCTCTCCCTCACCCCCAACAACTTTTTTGCTTGCCTAGCTATTTCTCTAAACGAAGGCAGGGCCACTCCTATGAGGGCCTCTCAGTGTCTGTTGGACTAGGCACTTCCACTGCCAGAGAAGCAGAGTTGAGGCAGAATGACCGCTGCACTAACACATCCTTCAAATGCTTGCTCCACCTTCAGCCAAGTGGAAGACTCCCTTTGACATACGTGAAACTTTTGTGTCAAAGTTCTACTTTGGCAACCTGATGTGGGTGAAGGTCCCCATGATGAGAATGGATGACATGGCTGCACCTTACTTCTGGGACGAGGAGCTGCTATGCACCATAGTGGAGCTGCCGTACACAGGCAATGCCAGCGCATTCTTCATCCTCCCTGATCAAAACAAGATGGAGCGAGTGGAAGCCATGCTGCTCCCGGAGACCCTGAAGCGATGGAGGAACTCACTGAAGACCAGGTGATTCTTCCTGTCCCCCTGAGAGTCCACATCTCTCCACCTCAAGGTCTCACCAGTGTCCAGGGACAAGGGCATGGTGATGGGAGAACTTGCACAGGGACAGGGGGAATTTTCACTTACTTTGCCCTGTGCACCTGTGTGGCTTCGGCCCTGATTCTTTTCTTCTTTAAGATGATGACATCACACAGAACAAGCGGCTGAGGCTTCCTCTGACTCCAGCCTGTTCTAAGTCATGAGAAATCTGCACCAAACGCTCATGCATACTTTCTCCTGGTCTCAATCTCTGGAAGGGAGAGAGAAACAGAAGGAGTTGTGATCAGTTGAGGGCTGCAGTGAGATGGGCCCTGAGAATCAGGTCTGTACTGGTGAACCTCTATATTTATTCATTCATTCAGCATTTGCTGCATGATTGAGCACCTACTGTGTGTCAGACTCTAATTTGCACCCTGAAAATAAATCAGCAAATAAAACACAAGATTCCCTGCTTACTTTGCAATTGGATAGGGGAGAGGCAATAAATAAATATAACAAATAAGTTATTTGATATGTCAGAAGGCAGAGAATTGAGTAAGGGGGCAGAAATTGAGTAGAGGGGGATGAAAGAAGCAGGAAAACTGGACCTTGTGTTCATTTGTGATTTTAAATAGAATGGCCATTCGGTGATGCGTGAGCATCCATGTAACGGAGGGGAGGGGTGGAGTCGTGTTGGTATGTTAGGGAAAAGCATTCCTGGCAGAGGGAACAGCCAGTGAAAACCCTCTAAGATGGAAGTGAGCTTGATATGTTCAAGGAAGAGCGAGGCCAGAGTGACTGGAGCAGAGGGAGTGAAGAGAGAGTTGAGCTAGGTCAGGAGCCTCCAAAGGGGTGGAGCAGCTTGTGTAGGAACACGTAGAGCCCTGGAAAACCTTGCCCTTCCTCCTCTCTGAAATGGAGAGCCATCAGGAGGTTTAGAGGAGGGGTGTGATCTGAGCGTTGTTTCAAAAGACTAACCGTGGCTGCTGAGAGAATAGACAGTGGAGCAGGTGTGGAGTCGGGGACACCCACAGGAACCAGGCGCAGACATGAGGTGGGAGCCCACAGCTGCTGGGACCCAGGAGGGAGTCGTGCGTGTGAGGAGTGGTTAAGTTCTGGATAAATCTGAGGGTGGAGGAACAGGCTGGGCACATGGAATTGAGCTGACCGATTTCATGGGGACACAGTGAGGCAGAGCAGTAGTTCCGGGCCACCCTGTAGTAGTTATGTCCACCTTGCAGTGGGCCCAGGGAGTGCGTGTGGGCAGCCGTGCTGGGTGGGCAAGGAGGAGCACAAGCCTTAGGTTCAGACCATGGTGGCTGGTGTGACCTGGAGCAGGTCGCTGCTCTTCTCTGGAGCTCAGCTGCCTGCTGAATAGGAGGAGGGTCCTTTCCCTGCCGCCCCTGTTCTCATTGGGTGGTTATGAGAATCCGGTGAGGTGTTGTATGTGGAAGCCATAATAAACCACCAAGGGCAGGGCAGCTGCTTCAACACTAACTTGAGGCTGCAGCTCCTGCCCCAGTCCCTGTCCAGAGGGCTGGACGCCTCTCAGGCCTGCCTGACGCTCCGCCCCTCCTCACTCTGGATCCCAGGAGATGCCAGGATGTGGGGTCCTACCCCACCCATCCATTCACTCCTAGACTCCTTCCTCCTTTAGCACCAAATAGCCACCAGGAAGCAGAAGCCCAGCAAATAGTTTTGAATGAAAAGAATTCATCAAACACTTTTGATTCACATAATGCTGAGGAAATATGTGTCCACACACTCCTGGCCCACAGAGGATGCTGAGTAGGTACTTGTTGAATGAAGGATGCAATGAACAAACACATGAATCAATGAATAAAAAATGGAGATAGAACACCTACTTCCTCCATGGGACTCAGAGTTTAGTGGAAGACACAGCCTCCTGTATAATGATAAGACCAGGCAGACAGGGACAGACATCTTGAGGGGGCTGTAATTCCAGGGAGGGGGAGCTGGGCCTCTAAGAGCTTGCTGCGTGTTCTAGGCCAGCTTGCACCCGGCTCGGAAGACGATGCTCACTGTAATAGGAATCTCCATTTGATTGTTTTAGGATTCCCAAAGCTCTTCCAACATAATCAGACTCCTCAGAGGCCCCCAGGCACTTTCTGACCTACCTCTGGCTCCTGGCCCACCTCATCCCCCACTACCCTCCTCCCTGCCTCACTGAGGTCACCTCCAGCCTGTGGAGCAACTCCTTCTGCTCCCGCCTTCTTCCAGGTTCTTCCATCTGCCTCCTGCCCACCTCTTCACCTAGCTTGCTCCTTTTCTGCCTTTGGGACTCAGCCTCAACACCACCTCCTACAGGAAGCCCTCCTGATACCCGTGAAGCAGGCTGCCATGCAGCCAGTGCAGCTGGCCTGGCCCAGGCTCTGGACACACTCAGGGGTCCCTGCTGGTGCAAAGGTGCTTCGACTGCATTGCAAGCTGCAGCAAAAGAGCAGGGCCAGGCCCGGGCTGGGCCACAGCTCAAGGCTTGGTGTGCTGCCTGGAGCCTTTCACACTTGCAGATCGGAATGAATAACTAATAAATAAGAAGAGTAAAGACAGGGGTTAGGAAATTGAGGAACAGAGTATTTATTTCTAATCAGAAGGGGGTGATTGTGGAGGAAACCAGGGAAGACCATGCGGCCAGGCGGGAGGCAGGTGGGCACTGATCAGCAGAGCTGCGGATATTTTTTTTTTTCTTATTTTCTAGATGGCTAGCACTCTTCCTGCCAAAGTTTTCCATCTCGGGGGACTATAACCTAGAAGACATACTTCCCCAGCTGGGCATCGAGGAGGTCTTCACCAGCAAGGCTGACCTGTCAGGGATCACAGGGGCCAGAAACCTCCGGGTCTCCCAGGTGAGTCTTCAGACTTTGGTCAATCATCTCCGTATCTGAACTTGAATGGTGAAGGCCAGGTGCACATTTGGGCACTCTTGACCTTGTGTCAATGCAGTTGCATTTCTCATTATGCGCTCACCCTGCTTGGGACACCCCAAGCCAAGAAGAGCTCGGTTACAGCCCAGCTCCTCCTGCCGTGCTGGGGACTGGTCCTCCGCAACACGACTGTGTGTGTTTCTCAGATGGAAAGATGTAGTTGTGTCGATTATTCAGATGGAATAGACATGTTGACAGGCTTGGAATCAGACAGTCATGGAACATCATTCCACACTGCACCATTTACTACCCATGGGGGCAAACAATTAAAGTCCTCTGTCCCCAGCGTTTTCATCTGTAAAATGCTCGTGATAGTTCTTGGCTGCTATGCAGTGCCCGACTGGGGAGGTAATACCAGTCGGGAGTAACAATGACGATCTGGCAATTGTGAGGAAAACATGCTCAGAGCACGAGAGAGGACTACTTGGGACACTCAGCCTGTGTTACTAAGAGCAGAGTTGCCAAGGCAGGGTGGCCATGCCACCCTCTACTCCTGTCTGGCCTGAGTGCTCACACAGAGCACTGGGGTGAGTCTGCATCTCCACCTTCCAAGGCGCAAAGTAACGGAGGGGTGTGTGTCGAGGAACAGACGCAGACGATCCAGGAATGCAAGACTTTGAAAAGTACTTGAAAGCCCCAAGGATGTTTAAGCTGGAGCAGGAGAGATGCTGGGAGCCATGCTGGCCTGGCGAGGCGGTTTCTGCAGCAGCCGTTGGGGGTCAAGGGCTGCCGGGACCTTGCTTGGAAGAAACATGCCTCACATTGTTCCTGCTCTTCCTCCCAACAGCAGTGGGAGTTTTGGGGGTAACGCAGACTCTCAACTCAGACAGAAAGGGGTGCATATGAGGGGCTCCATTCTTTACCTTGAAGGTTCTGGGCAGATCACACGCCGCACCTGGGTCTCCATCTGCACCTCTAGGGATCCGGACTGTGTAAATCTAGTCGGCAGGGGGTTGGGAGGAGCAAACATTCCACAGCAGAGACAGGCCAGCGCTGAGCGCTCTATGCACTGTGGGCCCCCTAGCGGCACACAGGCAGGTTGCTGACCTCCTGCCTTTCTGTGTCGACCTTGAGTAATGCTTCTGTCCCCACAGGTGACCCACAAGGCTGTGCTTGATGTGTCTGAGGAGGGCACAGAAGCATCTACTTCCCCAGCGCTCTCACTCTCCCTCCTTCCCCCAAATGTGGGCCCAATGGTCATTGTGCGTTTCAACATGCCCTTCCTGGTGATCGTCGCCCGAACTGACACCCCAAGCATCCTCTTCATGAGCAGAGTCATCTATCCCACAAGAGCCTAGAGCTTACCATTGAGCAGTGGGGCTCCCATTAAGGAGCCGGGAATGGAAGCTGGATGCTTGGGCCTCTGGGTACAGCCTGGCCCCATGCACCAAGCAGCCAGGGCATGTCTGGCCCTGTGTGCTCACCCTTTGAAGGTGACAGTGACTGCCTGTGGAGCGCCATCATGCACAGGGGCCCATGGACTCTTTGTTTGGGAGGGCCCTGTGCCTCCTGACAACAATAAACAATTTCCTTGGACACGCTGCTTGTGCCTTTCCATGCTGACTGCCGGACTCTGTGCTCCTGAGGCCACCTGTGTCCCAAAGCCAAACCCTTTGACCTCCCACGCAGGCTGAGCTCCACCCCAGGAACTGGGCTCCTTTTGCATTCATCTACAGCAGCCTGCCCAGGTCCACCCAAGCTTGTGGCCACGCCCACTTGGACCTCAGGCCCAGAGCTGGCGGAACCTGCTGCTCTAAGGCCAATTCCTGCCTGCTGGGCTTTGGGCTGCCCGCTTTCAATTCCCTGCTCTCCACCTCCAGGGTCCAGTCTCCACCTGGCTCTTGCCAGTGCTCCTGGCCCTGACCACAACTGGACAGCCCCCAGGCCCCTCGCTCCTGTAGCTGGGCAGGACTTTATCATGGGATGCCCCCCTTCTGCCATTTGGCACCCCCAGTTTAGGGGGAGTATCTACTTTCTGGGTTTCCAGACTGAGCCCCTCAACTGCCTCACCAGTTCCTAGCCCTCGCTCTGTGAATGACCTCCCTCAACAACCAGAATGCAGGGCTGAGGACAAATGAGCCATTACAGCACAACTGCAGTAAGAGCAATCGTGCAGTCAGGCATTTAACTGAGGCTCTCAGGTACCTTGCAATCTCTGCTACAAAGGCAACAATGATAACGTTGACAACAACTGAATTCCTGAGGATTTTATGCCAGTCAGTCTGCTAAGATCTCTCCCTGAAATAACCTGTTGAATCCTCCTGATGACCCGATGAGATAAATCCTGTCAGCAGTCCCATTCTATGGATGAGGAAACTGAGGCACAGAGAGGCTTGGTAATATTCTCAAGGCCACATAGCTAGTAATAATTGCCAGCAGAACGTTATTCCAACCCTCCTGACACTTTGTGGTTAAGAGGCACGTTCTTAACCACAAAGTTATTTCCACAGGAGTTGCCTTCATGGAATGTACAAACTTACAGCAAGTAGATGGTGAAATAAGTCTATGGAAGCCAAAGGAGAGCACCAAACCCAGTCTGGGAAGTCAGGGAAAGCTTCCTGGAGGAGGTGGCTTCCGTGCTGAGATCAGGGGAAGAGAAGGTGCTCAAGCGAACAGACGGGACAGTGCTTCAGACGGGAGAAAGAGCAATGGTAGCAGTCAAGAAACCAAAAGAAGATGGGCGGCTCTGGGGCAGAGAGCAGCGAGGCTGAGGGGCTGCAGAGAGGAACGGGCCACGACAGAGCCGCTGGACTGCAGAGGGGCGGGCCACCGCAAGGATTCCCAAGTGGTTCCTTAGAGCCACAGGGAGCTCTAAGGGAGTTTCAGCACAGAGGCGATGGAGGCAGCGCTGCGTGCTAGGAAAGTACTCTGGCTGCTGAGCAGAAACGGGATTCGTGCCCCAGGACAAGGATGTGGGTTGGACATCAAGGGGCCTCTGTGGGAACTGGGGCAAAGGTAGGTCAGAGCTGGGGAGGGCGAGCAGGGATGATTCTGCTTGAAGGCTTTGAGAAGAGTGGGTGGGAATTTATGATTGGCGGTGGGGAAGAAGGGAGAAGAACTGTATTTGGCTTTGGGCACCTGGGTGATGACTACCTAGTCTCTGACTAGGAAACCCAGCAGGGGCTTGCTGGCAAGGGAAGCTGACACATTCAGATTTGGAACTCCCATGTCTGAGGTTCCTGGGAGAATCCCCCGGGACTTGCTCAGGAAGCAGCTGGGCTGAAGTCAGGAGAGAAATCTGGGCTGGAGGGGAGCATTCAGGATTCCTCTCCCGGGATGGACAAGTGAGTATTGAGGTGTCCCTTCAAATGAATGCCATGGAGTGCAAAGAGAAGGAGAACGTCCCCCATTCCCAAAGAAGGACCGGCTAAGAAAGGGCAGCCCACCAAGGAGAGTCACCAGCATAGGGCAGGAGACAAGAGGACAGGAAGAAAGCTGTCACCGCAGGACCAAGAGGAGAGACTTATCCAAGGATAGGGGAGAAAATGCAGAAACAGTGATGATTGAATGGAATGAATGTGTCCACAAGATTTAGTGATCTAAAGCCACTTGGGGCTCACCAGTGCAATGTTAGCAGAATTAAGGGAGGACGGGGTAGGGGGGGCTGGAGAGTGAGCAGGATAGGAAGAGAGAGAAAGCCAGGCAGCCTGCAAATATGTATTTAGAGAGACAGGGTGGTGGGTAGTGGGTGCTAAGTTGAAGTTCACTGCAGTGCTCCACAGATGTCAGAGCCTTGAGCAAGCTTTCATAACCAGAGAAAGGATTCAGAAGGCAGGGCGGCAAGCAACCAGGGTTGCAGAGTGGCACAGCTCCTAAGGTCACAATTCACAGGTGGTTTGACACCGTCTTCAACCTGGAGTTGCAGAGTGAGCAGCCAGCCAGGCAGCATGAAGCATCACGGGAGAGGGCACAGGTGGAGGGCAAGGATCAAGGATCAAGGCTTCCACTGTGAAGGGAATGCAGGGAGTGGGGCGAGGGGGCCGGTGAGAGTGTGTGTTTCTTGGTAGGATCAGTTGAGACCTCCTCTCCCCCGATGACTCTGATGATTCCTAGTGTAGAAAGTAAAGTCACCTGAGTAGTGACATTTGCCAGAGGTTGGGCCAGGAGAAGGCACAAAATGGGACAGAAAGTTGACCAGGGTGTCACGGCAGGTCAGCCACGCTCAGCAATCAGTGCCCTGGAGGTCCAGCTCCAGAAATTCTTAGTGGTTCCAACCTTTACAGACAGCTGTGAAATGCCCTGTCTGGTGGAATATCTTTCCATTCTTACCAGCGCTCTTGTGGGTTTCAAGAAGGCCAACCACTGATCAGAAGGACAGGAGTCAAGGGGTTAGAGCTACAGAAGAGAGGATTGAGACCAGCATGAACTTGAGACCAGCACTGGGGGTACGAATGAGAGCAGAGGGAGCTGATCACTGGGGAAGCCTGAGGATGGGGAGATGGGGTCCGCAGGAGGTCCAGGAATGACCTGTTAGAAGTGCCATATGAACGATAAAGGCTACTTTTCCCCCTCACGAGGGTTTTTTCTCATTGACTCAGTTTTCCCGCCTGTACAGTGGAAACCATGATATGATAGGATGTGCATGATAGCGTGTGCATGTCTGTGTGCATCCATGTGTAAGAAGTCAGGAAGTCATTGAAATGTTCGCTCCTGAGTCTGAACGTTCCCTGGACAGCAATTTAAAAACTCCCGAGATGATCTTTTCCATGTGAACTAACTCCTTATCCAGGCTGGCATGGCTTCTCATCCCTCAGCTGGGGCTGGATGGCATTGCACAGGACAAGGCTCTGACCTGCCCAGCTCCTGCCCCCATTCCCTCCTGGCCTCAGTCCAGGTGTCTAAGGAGCCTTACCACAGCCCAGGGCTCATTGTCTTCTGTGACTTAGGTCTAGAAATTGCTGGATGAAAACTGAGTTCCTCCCTTAAGGGGGCACCTGGGCCCCAGACCTGTGAGGATGGGGCTGGGTTTCACTCTTCTCCCTCCCCTGGGGGCTGAGGGTCCATCCACCTGCTGGTCACTAACTATTGCCCTTAAATGGCTTCCTGCCGTTAGCTGCAGGAAAGGAGACTGAGGGGAGAGATATTTATTAGACAGAAGTGATGAGACTTTATGGTTGACTGTGTGAGGGACAGAAAGAAAGCAAAGATGGCACCCAAGTTGCTGTGTTGGGAACTTGGGGAACTGAAATTCACATGCCATTCCATGAGCTAAGGATTACAGAATGAATAATGTTTTGTGCAGGAAGAAGGTAAGTCCTGATGTGGACATGTGGGTTTGGAGGTGCCTGCATGTCATCTAAGAAGACAAGTCCAATAGAGAATGGGCTCTATGGATCTGAAGTTTAATAAAGAAATTTGAGTGAGAGGGATGGATTTCAGGATTTCTTCTTGGCAAAAAGGTGAGGACATTCCTGCCAAAAGACTTCTATTTTCACCTGTGACAGAGAAAGAGATGCTCTCTGCTGAGTGCATCATGGGGAAGCAGAAAACCCAGAAGTCTGGAGGAGCAGAGACGAGGACACATCAGGAAACCGTAATGTTCTAGCAGGCACTAATAAGGAACCCTTGGGGGCTGGAGATGACTGTGTCACTAGCTTGTACAGGTGGGTGGTTCCAAATATAATCAGCAGTTCAGACACAGACAGAAAGGGGATAGACTGCAGGTGGCTACTGGAGCTGAAATTTCCCCTGGTTACAGGAAGGAGGGGCCATAAGTGGCCGACACAAGGACAAATGAATATATCTGAAAATATTAATCAGAGAGTCATTCAAATGATGAGATTTTCATATTCCAGGCCGGGAACATCAAGGAGCCATAACAGGCAGAGCTGATGGGTGACAGAGGTGTCTGGAAACAAGATGGCACTTGGAAGTTGAATAGGGGTTGGCACACTGAGGTCGAAGATGTGGGATAATTCATAAATTGATAAAAGGGTTCCTTCCACCTTCTCCATGTCCCTTTTACTCAGATCTACCAGCTTGGAAATGAGGAAATAACGCCCACAAATTCCATGCAACTGGTTCTCCTCTCTACTCCCCCTTTCTTCTCAGAGCCCTTCCACTTGCCACACAGCTCCCGTGGTGACTTTCGGGTCAGCAAACCTTCAAAGTCCAGTTCAGATCTTGCTCACGTGATTTTGGCCTAATTACCTGGCATCACTGTTACTGCCTCTGCTCTTGAATGTTGGGAGAGCATCTACTCCAGAGGACCATCAGGTGGATTACAAAGAATAATAACAACGACACATGTCAAAGGCCTGGCTGGGTTCCGTAACCCCTGCTCCACTGACCACAGCCTCTGCCACACCAGAAACATCCGTGATGCCCTCTTGTGCCCACAGGTGCTGCTTAGGGCTGTGATTGTTGTGGCCAAGAAGGGCACAGAGGAATTAAGTTTCAATTCTCTACAAAAAAACAAAAAACAAAAAAACAAAAAAACCCCATTGACCACTGTGCATTTCAACAGAACTTTCCTAATGGCCATTCCTCTCCCCAGACACTCAGAGCATCCTCTCTGGGCAAAATTTTTGACCCCAAAAAAGAGATGAAACTAAAATCACAATTTGCAAAGTAAACTAAATTGGGATCTACAAATCTGGTAAACTATATTCAACCATGACTTGTTACATGTAGTAGGTCCAGAATGTATCAATAGCCACATATCAGACCCATGTGTTCGAAGGAAAGGCCACAGCAAATGCTTCTAAGAGTAACTCCACACAGACTCAGGTTTTATAGAAAAGAACACTGTTCGCTTACTTTACAAATCCTGACCATGTTTTCTAAGTATCACTCAGAAACTACCATAGGCCAACTCAGCCCATGGGACCCTGTATTTCTCTTAGCTACCCTCCTTCCAGACTTTGCTGAGCTGCCAAGATGGTGTTCTCCCTTGCTCAGAGAGTTCAATAAACCCAGATTTGTTTGAAAGGAGTGAAGCACTGGTACTTGCTACAACGTGGATGAACCTTGAAAACATTATGCTTAGTGAAAGCAGCCAGACACAAAAGGCCACTTATTGTGTGATTCCATTGAAGTAAATATCCACAACAGGTAAATCCACAGACACAAAAGCAGATTAGTGGTTATCAGGGGCTAAGGAGAGGAAAGAACAGGGATGACTATTCAATGGGTAAGGAATCTCCTTTAGGGGTGATGATAATAGTTTGAAACCAAATGGAGGTGATGGTTACTCACATGTGAATGTATTAAATGTCACCAAATTAAAAACTTTACTAGGTAATGTGAATTTTATCTCAATTAGAGAGAGAGAGGGAGGGGGAGAGAGAGAGAGAGAGAGAGAGAGAGATACAGAGAGAGAGAGATTAACTAAATGTCATGTATAGAACTTATTTGGATCCTAATTGAAACAAACCAACTATAAAAAACAATGAGGGTGGTGATCGCATGCCCCTTCTGGCACAGGGAGGCCACTGAAGATCAGGGTCTCTTGGTCACAGAGAGTGGTACCTCCTCTAGTACCACAAAATGTAGCATGGAGGGCCAGGGTCCCCAGAAGACTCCACCTGCCTGGCTTGTCTATCATCACAGGGAGATCTCTGCCCCTTGAGGCTAAGAGACCCCAACCTTTCCCCAAGCTGAAGCTGCAGGGTATTGAGGTACCAGCCAGATGTCTTCTCACAAAGGACCAGTGGTGGCACGGGAGTGGGGCTTCTGCCAGTAGCAGGGAAACTGACATGGTAGAACTGGCTGAACTCTGAACTGGGACCCCTGCTACAACAGAAGGGCAAATGGGTAATCGCCAACCTAACCAAAGCTGAGGAAGAGCAAACGTGCCCAGTGCCCCAGGAAGAGGAGGAGGAAGTGTCGGTACTGAGACTTCCCCTGCAAGCCTGCCACATCATGGAGAAGATGGAGGAGTCTGTGTCCAAGGTCTGGGAGGGATAGATGTCAGAGGGTCATCCCACATTGTCATGGGAACCTTGGGGAGAAGGGGTCGCCTTGCCAGTCAGCACCCTCTGTGGCCAGCAGCACCTAATGCCTGAGTATTGCTTATGTCTGCTGGGCTTATTCCGCCAACTCGGCCCAGCAGACTGCACTCAGCTCACACTACCAGCCCGCATCCCACACCTGCCAGGGGCAAGCCAGGAGCGCAGCGGCGAGGGGTGTGTGAGTGAGTGAGCGCAGGGTCTGGCCACAGCGCACATGCAGACATGTTGGCTGCTGGGGCTCGGCGGGCAGCTCTAGGCACTGGCACAGGTGCTGGCTCCATGTAGGGCTGTGGCTGGACCAGATGTACCACACGTGGCTTCTGCTGTGGGCACCCACATTTGGACAAGGGGAACATGGCGGCACCCAGAAGATTGGAGACACCAGGAACCAGAGAGCCCCAAAGAGGGTGCCACAGCCCCACAGCCCTGGCCTGGGGATCCCCTAGGTCTGGGCTTCCCAAAAGGCAGCAGTTCTTTGCTCCTTTTTTTGCCCACAACGTGGTGAGCAGTGGGACGTGTTTCAGCTCTGTCTGCGTTACAGCTCTTTCAGTCCTGCCATTCGGTGGGTCCCGAGTTCTCATCCTGCGCCCAGGAAGAATGAGGTACACAGACAAATAGAGGGTGAGCACGGCAGAGAGGAGCTTCATTGAGTAACAGGACAGCTCTCAGGAGACCTGCAGGGGAGAGCTGCTTTCCAGAGGCAGGCTGTCCTGGCGTCTGTTAGAGTCTGGCTGAATCTGGGAATTTTGTAGGCTCAGAAGGGAGAAACCGCGTGTTAATGGGTCCACGGGTGTCATGGGCAGGCCCAGAAAAAGCATCATGTTCTCACTCTGGGCCATGGGGCCCACCCAGAACTGGCAGCCTGGTCCCCAGGCTTCAGGTTGTCCTTTGCTTTAAAGTGGGGATTACCTGGGGACCCACCCCTTTTAGTCCAGGAATCTGTCTGCCTCTTGCCATTAACATGCTCTTCACAGCACCCAGGCTGTTTGTATTGTGGGGCACCTGCAGGCCCACTGTGTGCTACCCTCAGCACCCCCTTGGCCTCCCTCCCGTGTTCATCAAAGCCCAAAGTACGGAGGGTGCTGAGGCGACGGGGGCTGGCACGTCAACACTGCCCTGAGCATGCGCACACCCAGCTGGCTTGGGACAGCACCTGGGCTTGGCCACAACTTTGTCCAACGCTGGAGTGGACACCGAGGAATTCAAGCAGGCATTTAAAACCTGCTGGGGAAAGGAGCTTCCTAGGACCCCAAGAGCACAGAGATGCCTGAGTCTGGAGCTGAAGCTGGGCAGCTGCAGCTGCACCTAAACGCATGGGGCTCCAGCCCTACCAATTCAGTAGGGGAGGGTCTCCCACCTGTTCGTAGCCCCTCCTGGCCCCATGGAGCACACAGCCCTGGCCATGGATCCCCCACTGTACCTGACATCCCTGCAGTGGCAGCTACAGACAGGCCGCTGCCACCATCAGTATGATATGCCCCCTGGCTGGCTGAAGTACCACAACTCTCTGCTATATGGCCATAGACAACCCATGCCCTTCTTCTGGCCTTGCTTCAAGAGCATCTTCTCCATCCATGCAGAAATTGGCAACATCTGGACCCATCTGCTTCACTTTGTGCTCTTTCTCTTTTTGGGAATCTTCACCATGCTCAGACTAAAGATGTACTTCATGGATCCTCTTCAAGAGAAGGTGGTTTGGGGGATATTCTTTCTGAGTGCCGTGCTCTGGCTCAGCCTCTCCTGGCTCATCCCCACCATCTACTGTCATTCAGAGAAAGTTTCTCAGACATTTTCCAAACTGAGCTATGCAGGGATTGCTCCACTGATTATAAGGAGCTTCTTCCCCTGGCTCTGTTCCTCCTTCTACTGCTCCCCACAGCCATGGCCCGTCTACCTCTCCATCCTCTGTGTCCTGGGCATCTCTGCCATCCTTGTGGCACAGTGGGACTTGTTTGCCATTTCTAAGCACCGGCAGACAAGGGCAGGGGTGTTGCTAGGACTTGGCTTGAGTGTCTTGTGCCCACCATGTACTTTACTACCACTGAGTGAGGACTTTGCCAAGGTCACCACAGTGGGCCAGATGGGCTGGTTCTTCCTCATGACTGTCACGTATGTCACCAGAGCTGGCCTTTGTGCTGCTCGAATTCCTGAACACTTCTTTCCTGGAGAATTTGATGTATGGTTCCAGTCTCAGCCGATTTTCCATGTCCTCATGGTGACAGTGGCCTTTGTCCACTTTTGTGGGGTCTCCAACCTTCAGGAATTCTGTTACAGCCAAGAAGGTGCCTGCACTGACTTAGTTCTGTGAGCCTTCTCATCAGAGGTGTGGAGGAAGAACTTCCTGAATGCTTTTATTTTATTTTTATTTTTATATTTTTTGAGACAAAGTCTCACTCTGTCACTCAGGCTGCAGTCCCGTGGCGCCGTCTGGGCTCACTGCAACCTCTGCCTCCTGGGTTCAAGCACTTCTCCTACCTCAGCATCCTGAGTAGCTGAGACCACAGGCACATACCACCACATTCAGGTAATTTTTGTGTTTTTACTAGAGATGGGGTTTCACCATGTTGGCCAGGGTGGTCTCAAACTCCTGACCTAAGTGATCTGCCCACCTCAGCCTCCCAAACTTCTGGGATTACAGGCATGAGCCACCACACCCAGCCCAGGTACTTTCACAAATAACCTTTTTGCTGAAGTGAGAGGAAGAGTCTGGATTGTCTGTTAAACCTCTTAGAGAATTCAATACCAACCAAGCTTCAGCCACTTTCACACCCACTGGGCAGTAACCTAGCCATTTCCATTCTGCTAGCAGAGGATGGGACATGGTGAAACTCATCCCTCCCCTCCTCAGCAGTCACCTGCCTCAGCAAGGCAACTACCGGCCCCCCACAGAGACAGTACTTTGAAGCTCATGTTGAGATTTTGCCCCAACCATTTTGGGAAAATTATGGACTAGGACTCTTGAGAAATTCTCTTTCTTCTGGAAGAAAATATTCCTCCCTTACTGCCATCCTTACTTTGTATCCTGGCTTAAAACATGCTATCCATTTTTGTAGCACACTTTTCAAAACAGTTGAATACCCTGGTCCCATCTTTCTAGGGCCTGGATCTGCTTACATAACAGAAAAAATAAAGCCTCTGACTCTTAACATTGCCCAGCTAAGTTGAGTTTTATTTTGTTTTTTTTCTTGGCAGAGTAATGTAAAATTTAAATGGAGAAAGATATTTAATATTTACTACTAAGCTTTAAAAAGGAATCTGCCATCAGATTTGCTATGTATCTTCATGCAAAGTCTGTGATGTTAATAATAGAAGGTACAGAAGACACTGGGTATGAAAAGAAAAAGAAAACATTAGGAACCAGAGTAACAATGGCTTGACAACATGAGGAAATTATCGTTTTTAAAATTGTGATATAATATTGCAATTATGATATTTTCCCAGTTTTTATACATAAAATGAAATATTGCATAGGATTTGCTTTGAAATATTGAGCAGGGAGAAAGATATTGGGAGGAATCAAAAGATGATATTGGTCTGACATTGAAAATAACTGAAGCTGCTAACGGGCATGTAGGGGTTCATTACACCATTCTCTCTCTGTTTTTTTTTCATATGTTTGCATCATTCCATAATAAAAAATCCTCCAGAAATCCCACTCTTGGGTATCTACCCAGAGGAAAAGAAGTCATTATACGAAAAAGGTATTTGCACACGCGTGTTTATAGAGCAACACAATTTGCAACTGCAAAAATATGGAACCAGACAAAGTGCTCATCAATTAAGGAGTGGACAAAGAAACTGTGAATCTTATGCATATATAGATAGATAGATATAGATATAGATATATCTCACTATTATATGTATATATCACACTGTTATATCCATATTGCACTATTATATATATCATACTATTTATATATATATATCATACTATCATATATATTATATATGTATATGTGTGTGTATGTATATATATAT